ACATACATACAGACATACATACAGACAGGCATACAGACATACATACAGACAGGCATACAGACATACATACATACAGACATACATACAGACAGGCATACAGACATACATACAGACATACAGACATACATACAGACATACATACAGACATGCATACAGACATACATACATACATACACACAGGCGGGTCCGTCCGCCCGCGGCCGCTGAGGTGGGGAGAGCCTCGCCTGCCCCTCCTGGGGGTCTCCCTGGAGAAAGCCGAGGGACAGGACCCTCTGAGCCGCCTTTTTCAGAGAGGGCTGGGAGCCCCCGCTGGGTTTGGCTCTGGCCATGACCCCCCCCCCGGCCTGACAAAGCTTTCCAGAAAGGCTGAAAGTGCCTCTCACTTGCAGGTTTCCTCTCACGAGACCCGATCTTTGCAAGAAGTGGGAAGCCGCTGTTAAGAGGAAAAACTTCAAGCCGACCAAGTACAGCAGCATTTGCTCAGAACACTTCACCCCCGATTGCTTTAAGAGGGAATGCAATAACAAGCTCCTAAAGGAGAATGCGGTGCCCACAATATTTTGTTACACTGAACCCGGTGAAAAGGTAAACCCCGAGGCACCCGCGGCCGCAGGTGCCGGAGCGCGGGTGTGTCGCAGCGCGGCAGGGCAGCAGGCGGGGAGAGGATGCAGGCTGGGAAGGATGCTGAGCCTGTGCGCCTAAGGACACCAGGAGGGCTGTAGCGGCCGGAACTTAACCCACAGCTGTTCTCGTTGGCGCTAGCAAGAGCAGAGGTGTGGGCTGTCCCAGGCTGTGGAGCGCAGAGAGGCTGTACAGGCAGGCGGTAGCTCTGAGCAGCTCGTGTGCCTGAACTGAGTGGAAAGGCAGGAAAGTAAGAAGATATTACCCTGTAGTTAGGTTGTTCAGCAGTATTTCTGCTGTATTTGGAGTTAGAGAGAGCCTTCAGTAGCGCTCAAACCATGGCTGATGGCTGCTGCTAGCATTGAAGAGATATTAATTAATGAAGTTAACTGTCCCCTCAAAAGGGCTCTGTCCTCTGGATTTGTAGAATTAAAGTGAGGTACAAACAGAAGGGTAGAACCTTACCTGCATCTATTATCTGTCTGTCCTGAAACCACCTCTGTCTTGCCTTAAGCTTGTGATCAAAAGCCAGACTGGTCCCTGACTTCTAATGGTAGAATCTCCTGTGAGAAGTGTTATTCCCTTCACTGTGCCACAAAAGCAGTTTACCACGAGATGCAAGTCTCTTATGAGTTCTTCCTTCTTGATAGCTGCAAAAAGCTGCAAGACAAGAATGGGAAAGATTGATTCTTAAGTCCTATAAAGGATATAAAATATTTGATCTTTTGTCACTCCACCATTGAGGAAGTGGCAAATAAGAGAATGGTAAATACAATAGGTCTAGGGAGCAACAGCATGTGATGGGATGAAGTGCACAGAGGAGAACTCAGACTTTTCTCTTATATACAATGTTGGATTGATGCAGAAATAAAATGGCAATGTATTTGAAAAATGAAAAGTGGCTAATAAAAGATAAGAGAATATAAACAGAATGCATATAAGGAGACAGGCAATTTACAGGTAAATATGGGTGTGTTTTTTGTTTGGTTATGCTTCCCTGCTTATCTGTAATAAACACATTTTCTTTGTTGTGTGTAAAATAGTTGCAAATTTTTTCACAGTCTGAAAGCTGAGTGGGTGTACAGGATAATCTGCAGAAGTGCAGTTGGTGTAGCAGGATTAGTAGTGAACCATGTTCCCAATTTCATTGTCATGCCTGGATCTACAAAAACACAGTGATGTGCCTTTTAATTATGAAGGATTTAGTTCTATTCCTATTTGTCTCCTGGGACTTTAAATTAACTGCCACATATCTTCAAGTAACAATGTAGGAACAAAGAACAGTACTGGTTGTTTTGGAATTGAATCCACACTGATTTTGAAGTACAGGTTTTTGTCTTTGACACTACGTAGTTTGGTATACTTTCTTTTTCTTTACTTATGTCTTAGTAAAACCATGTATTGGCTGTAAGAAGCAATTAGAATTCCCTGATGTCTCGGGGATGCCAGCTGTTCTCTGTGATACATTTTGACAATAGTAACATGTTTATAGAGGTAGCCTGTGCTCGGTAGCTGCAAATAAAAGTCTCTGTGTGAATTCAGCAGTCCAGCAATGATCTGAATTTTGCTTTTGTTTCCATCAAGAATGAATTTATCTTTGCCAGTTACATCTTCACTTTGTATTTTTCTTCAGTGGAAAAACATGATAGGGACAGCTGGTAGGGTCAAGCTCTTTGGAATATTCATGAGTGAATTAGGCAGGCTAACAGCAGCAGTTTCTTAGAGCTGAGAAATAAGACTGGTAGTTGATTGGCTGTTTTTGTGCTTTTGTGTGATCAGTTATATTTGAGTGTGTGTGAAAACTTCCTTTCATTACCAGTCACCAAACTGCCTTTTCAGTTGCTGTCTGCCAGGTGTTGTAGTTTTTATGAGGGATAGGTAGACCCCCAAATATCAAATATTGTTGCCTTAAGTCAAGGAAGTTAATGACATGACCTTCAGATCTAATGAATTTCATATTTAGACGGTGAGGATTGTCAACTCTTCTTCAAAATCAACATTTTCCCTGTCCTTAAGCTTTTCTGTCTAATAATAATATTGGCAACAGGTGGGTAGGTAGAAAATTGTTACAGTGCCTCTTTCGCTGAGAACGTCTTAAGCTTTCTTTTTAACAGGAAACATGCAAGCTCTTTTGTTTCAACAGTGCTTTTTTAATCATCATGAGCACAGAAGCATTTCTAAATTATACTGCATTCCTCTGGAGAAGGAAAAATCTGGTTCTCTGCTCTGGCCTAAACTCAAGTGGTGAGGGATCTGTGTTGTCCTGAACTGTACAAGTGAACCTATCAAGAGAAACGTGATAAAAGCTGCAGTTTTATCTGCAAAAAAAGCTGCAGTGGAGTTGAGCCAATTGATATTTTGCTGCTGCCAAAAGGGAGAACTGTGCTTCTCCCTTCTCCATCCCATCTGCAAGCCGTGCAGTCCTGTTTCTCCACATGACTGGGCAGTGTGTGCTCACAGTCCACGAGAGCAGCCATATCCCGGGCTGCATCCAAGGCAGTGTGGCCAGCAGAGTGAGAGAGGTGATTCTGCCCCTCTACTGTGCTCTGGTGAGACCCCACCTGGCACACTGCATTCAGCTCTGGGGCCCTGCAACATAAGAAGGACGTGGACCTGTGAGAGTGAGTCCAGAGGAGGCCACGAAGATGGTCAGAGGGATGGAGCACCTCTCCTACAAAGACAGGCTGAGAAAGTTGGGACTGTTCATCCTGAAGAATAGAAGGTTGCATGGAGACCTCATAGCAACCTTCTGGTACCTAAAGGGGGACTACAAAAAGGCTGAAAAAGGTCTTTCTACAAGGGCATGTAGTGACAGGCCAAGGGAGAATGGCCTTAAACTGAAAGAGGGCAGATTTAGATTAGATATTAGGTAAAAATTTTCTGTTGTGAAGCTGGTGAGGAACAGGTTGCCCAGAAAAGCTGTGGGTGCCCCATCTGTGAAAGTATTCCAAGGCCAGGTAGGATGTGGCTTTAAGCAACCTGGTCTAGTGGAAGGTGTCCCTGCCCATGGCAGAGGGGACTTGAAACTGGATGATCTTTAGGGTCCCTTCCAAACCAAACCATTCTATAAATCTGTGATTCTCAGCTTTTCCAAATATTAGGGCAGGTGTAGGTTATACCTGGTATTGCATTGCTTTGACTTTTAGAAGTGGACAGAATATTTCTGCAGTGATGGTGGCAGAATGAATAGCTTTCTGTCATCTCAACAGCTACCGAGGATGAGAGGCCTGCTTTGCTGTTGAACGAGCTGTTTATTTCGGCTCATCATGTCTCTTGAAACCAAACCCAGAGCCCAAAACCAGTGGCAGAGTCCCTTCCAGTTGTTGAGAAGACAGGCCTTGCTGTGTCCACCTTTCTGCTCCCTGAGTAGCTGACCCTTGTTCTACCTCGGCTTCTACTGTGTTTTTGATGAAGTTAGCTGATAGGTTCAATTATGTAGTGGTAAGATGCAGCAGAAAGGAGGAGGGACAAAGGGGAATGAGTAGTAGCAATGAGTTACTAGGTTCTCTGAACTCTGTTTCATGAAACTGCAGCCTGTGTTCTTGCTTCTTAACTAACTATGGATACTATTTGACCTCAGTCTTCAAGTAAGAGTAATTGCTACGTTATTCAGTTTTTTATTTATTTGAGACATCAAGGGCTTGAGTTTCAAAGAGCCCTTAAAATGAAGCTGCTTAAAAATATCTCCAGTTGAGAAGCCAGACAAGGCAGGCCCAGAACTTTCTGTCAGTTTTGAAAAGGTAGGCTTTGGAATTTATTTCATTAATTTAAATCCTAGGTGTTTATGTCATTCCGGGGCTGTATAGCGAGGGAGTTGCGTTGCAAACAGCCTTAAGCCTGAAAATGTGGGGTTTTTTTTCCCTCCCTCGTTCTTTCTAGTCTGAAGAATTTGCAGAACAGCCGGAAGATCCGCTGCCACCTCCCCCACTGCCGCCGCCACCGCCGCCTCCACCGCCACCGCCACCGCCAGCAGCTCCAGTGCTGCCACCACCTCCATCGACTCCTTTCCATTTGCCCCAGATAGATGCCAGGTTTGTAGACCCGAGTATTGGATTACTGATGCCTCCTCTCCAGACCCCTAGCAACCTCGCCGTTTTTTGTGACCATAACTATACCGTAGAGGACACAGTCCATCAGCGAAAAAGAATTCAACAGCTGGAGGAACAAGTTGAAAAACTGCGGAAGAAGCTCAAGACGGCGCAGCAGCGATGCCGACGTCAGGAAAGACAGATTGAAAAACTGAGAGAGGTCGTTCAGTTTCAGAAGGAAAAAGACATACTGGCAGGAAAAGGCTATGTGATTCTGCCTAATGACTATTTTGAAGTTGTAGAAGTGCCTGCCTAGAAGTCACGAACATCACTTTTCACTTTGGCAGGCCAAGAAATTTAGTTTAAAACCTAAATTCTTTCTAATTCTGTATGTAAGAGTCTCCAGAATTATAAAACAGTAAGTAAACAGTCACACAAATGAGGTAATATTTTTTCTTCGCTGTCGTTTCAGTTTGATACACTTTTAATACATTGAAGG